ATGGATGATCTTCATCATGTTGTTACAAAATCATTGAATGATAACTCAAATACATCAACAGTTGTTCGTAGAAATCGTACTAAACCGATCAGTCTTAAAAATATTTTATTATTCATGGGGAATATTTGTTAATAATAATTTTGTTTTATATGTAGTAGAATTCTTTAATCATTAAATTCTACTGTTTTCGATCAGAAGAATTAAATGAAAGAAGAACTCCTATGATTAGACTTAGTTATGCAATTATTGTCATGGTTTTCGATGGTAACAATTGTTAGTTAAGTTATTCACATATTATGACATTCGATAGTTATGAAAATATGTTTGTCATAGATGTAGAAATAATTGAATTGGAAAATTTGTTTTATTAAATATTTGTAGTGAATAGAAAATGAATGATTTGAAAGAGAATCGAATATTTGGTAAATAAAAAGATAAGAAATTTTTCTTAATCTAACGAATATTAGAGAAAAATAAGATTGAAATAAATAAATTTCTTATGAATGGCATGAATTAATTAAAAGGCTATGAGTGTGATTGTGAGTATTATGAAGATACTTACACCTACATACCCACACCCACACCCTTAATTTAATATTATCAAGAGTTAATGTTTCAAGCCGAATAAATTCTGAAATAATGTGATGTGGTGATATAACAATACCAACATTAAATGCATTTGTTAGACGAAGTAATCAGTCAAAGCATTAGAAAGAAAATTTTTCCGGAAATAGATAATACTAAATTTATAGGGTCGAAAGCCTGTACAGAAACGAAATTTTGCAATGATTTCATAGAAAAAAAGGATCCTTTTTTAATGATTTTACATGTTTTATTGACTCTGTCCAGCAACTGATGAACGGAACAAGACAAAGTATTGAAACATACAGAAAAGAAAAACAAATATCTCTCAAATAGAATTTCATTATCAAAATTAAAAGTGTAGTGGAAAATTTTTGAATTCCAATGATTGACTTATTTTCGGACACTTACTGATCACTCGATCAATTAACCACAAAATTTTTTTAGTATCAACAGATATCCTCATATTTCCCTATTGCATGGAAAAAAACATAGGTCTCTAGGTACGACCATTCTCGAGATATTTCTAAAATATCGAAATTCATTATATTTTGATGCCGACAGTAGTAAGAACTATTAAACTATCCTGTACGAAACTAATGTACGATTGAGATATAGAATGAAGAAGAAATATTTCCTAATATTCAACAATAATAATAGCGAAAAGCCTAATGAGTTGGCTTAGTTTACTTTAGACAATGAATGCGAACAAAAATCATCAGATATTATCTAACAAAAGACGTTGAATAATAAAATCAAGAATTATATTGCACAATAAGAAAAGAAAATTGATTTATATGACAAATAGAATAAGATTTTTCGTGCTTATAATATTAGCTGCATTGAATCCTGAGCATGTTCGTGATTTATCTCTTTATTTAGTATCGATTGCTACAATAAAATCATTCGTTGATTTACAAAAGAAATATGTAAAACTTGAGTTTCAAAAATAAATAAATTAGGAATAATTTCGCAATTTGAATGAAATACTCATTTATTTGAAGTTTTTTTTCTCTATTTTTTTCATATTTGTTGCGATTAGACGCTTCCAAAGAAGCAGGAAAAATTACATTGACATAAAATCAATGTGAAGCATTAGTAGTAGATTGCAATTAGCAATAATCTCTCGTCACTAAACGCTCATTAGATAAGGTATTACCTCTGAGTAAGAATACATGATCACATTTTTGTATGCTCTTTTAGATATCATCAAACATAAAACAAAATCAGTGAGTTAATAAGTAACAAGCAATGAGTCATTTTATTGCGAAATTAGAAAATGATAATCATTCTTTCGAAAGACTCATCGCGTCCTCGACGAATTGTAATGATTACATCTATTGTCCGCTTACTTTTGCTTCTACAGAAAGATTATGAAACTAGGTTCGTGAAAGATGCGGTTGGTTGATTATTCATTGACGTGCACATTACTACAGATTGAGAAAAATAATCTTACTGAAACAGTTTTCTTGGTCATCATGTACAAAAAAAAAGTAATTGAATGGAGTATTTAAAAATTACACATGTAAAGGACAAGAAGAGTAAATAAAATTTCTAAGAAATATGCTAATTATACTATCAGATATTCAAGTAGTAAAACTATTCGAGCTGATGAGTTGTTTTCTTGTTAGTTTTTTGCAATACGTTCTATTGCTTTCCATAATTGGCTATCTTTATTCAATAATGTCGCCATGCATGAATGCTATATGATCCAAATAACGATCTTCGAATGCACGACGGAATTTTTTTTCCACACCAGTAATAACATATATTGAAGGTTGACAAGTTAAGGTTGCTCTATACAGTCGATTATCATTAATAAACTAATTTTTATCAACCTATATCATTTGAAAGATATGTTGCTAGTAGATGTAGGTTTCAGAAAGTTTCTCTCAAACACTATCATTGTTTAAGCTTTCATCTTTGGCTTCGTATTAATGTCGACTAATACAGTGTATTGTTGACATGCTATAACATTTGACATTTTTCTCTTAATTCTAGATAAATTTTAACAATACTTTCATTACGATAGTTAGTCTTGTTTTTATTTTATATTTTGAAAACTTATTAACTTTAATATGAGAGAGTAAGCAAAACTCGTGAATGGGCGATGCATTCGTTCTCTTTTCTTTTTTGTTTTATTCAGCGTAGTTTCGAAATCTGTTATCATCATCAAATAATATTTCGTAATTACATGCTATAATATGCATTACATACTTAATATTAGTAGTAGTTGCACAAGATTTTTGTTCTTCCTTCACATACACAAAGAAAAAAGTCCGTTTATGTTGTAACTATTCGTTTGATTGTAGATTAACAAAGTTTTGTTGCGAACAAATGGATAAAGAAAAGAGACATATTAATATTGTCATCCTTGGTCATGTTGATTCGGGCAAATCGACTTGTATTGGACATCTCATGTGCAAATGCGGTGGAATTGATAATCGAATTGTTGAATGATATGAAAAAGAGGCTGCTGAGGTATTTTTTTAGTTAGATAAGACTTATGTAATGATATATTTACAATGATTGTTAGATAGGTAAAACTAAGTCAAAATATGCATGGATTATGGATAGACTAAAACGTGAACGAGAACGCGCTATCTGCTTATGTTTTCCGCAGACTGGATTCGAGACGAAAGCATACTATGTTACCATCGCTGATATACCAGATCATCAAGATTTTATTAAGAACATGATTACAGATGCTTTCCAGGTACGTATCTACTTGTATGTTAGATAACTGTTCATATATAATATGTATTAGACTGATTGTGGATTGTTGGTCGTATCTGCTAGTTTAGGTGAATTCGAAGTCGGTATTTCCAAGGATGGTCAATCTCTTGAACATGTTCTATTTATGTACAACTTAGGTGTCAAACAAATGATCGTTATTGTGAATAAGATGGATGCAACAGATCCATCATTTTCTGAAGAACTATTCAATGAAATAAAAAATGAATTATCGACACAAATACAAAAGATTGGCTATCAACCAGAAAGTGTTGCTTTTATTCCACTATCTGCCTCGCACGGTGATAACATGATCGAATCATCAGAAAACATGCCTTGGTACAAAGGATGGACAGTTGAACGTAAAAAAGGTAATGTTACAGGAAAAACTCTAATGGAAGCTATTGATGCAATTATTCCACCACAGCGGTCAAGCGAAAAACCACTTCGACTTCCTATCCAGGATGTATATAAAATTGGTGGAGTTCTTACGGTGCCTGTGGGTCGCGTTGAAAGTGGTATACTCAAGACTGATATGAAGATCACGTTTGCTCCATCAAATATCAAAACAGAAGTCAAATCAATCCAAATATGTCATGAGAGTATTAACGGTACGGTTTATTTTAGTTAGCTGAAATAGAAATTGTTTTGTTTTGTTTGCAGAAGCTTTACCTGGTGATAACATTGGTTTCCGTGTTGAAG